ATTTTTAAAAAGCTAATAATAAAGTAATCCTTTTATTATTATTTAAAAAAGCAATAAATATTTATAGAATGTTATTTGCTTAAGAGATAAAAATAAAATAAAAAATTCTAAAAGAGATTCGCTAATTCAACAAAAAAACATGAAATTTCAGTAGAGAATACCAAAACTGAATATTACAATAGTTATAGAATGTTTTAGTAACTTTTAATGTGGATGATGTAAATAAAGTTTGATGTAAATAACAATCATATAAGTTTCAAATTGTTTGCACAAAACATATTCATCCGAAATTGTTTGATACGCTTATATATTACAAATGATTGATAAAAATTTGAGTATTCCTTATATAATATTTAAAAATGCAATAATTAGTGTTCAATTAGAAGAAAATATAGACTAAAAATATCAATCTGAAAAACACAACCAAATTTGATTTACATATATATTTTAAAAAACAAAATAAACCTGGACGTGCAATTTTTTATACAACTATATTAAAAATAAATAAATTAACAAAACATGAATAATTATAGGTAGACTTTTACCAATAAATATATTTCATTAGGTTTAAAGTGGCCACTTTTTGCAGCAATGCTAAAGTGCAAACGCTTATTGAATTTTTCAGCAATGAGCCGTATGTCTACTACCTTTAATCTATCCAACTCCCGACGAAGCTTCAGAAAGTACAACGAGTGTAACGAGTGTACAACGTTGTACTTTTGTGTACAACGAGTGTAAGCGGAGCAAACGAATTTCACTCTGTAGTTTACTAATTCTAAAGTAGCATATCTTTTGCTTGACTTAAAAGCCAAAAAAAATAATAATAAATAAATAAAAATTCGTAAACGAAGAATTATATTTTGAAATTAAAGTGACTGATAGAAAAAGGAACACACAAATTAAAAAGAAATTAGTGATCTTCAATTCAATGATGTAATATGTTAGGCCGAGTTTTTTTCCGTATTGCCATTTTTTTTCAGGTTCTCGCAACAAATCATACGCATCAAATTCTAAACTCATTATGATGAAAACATTGGAGGTTGTTACAACTATTTGAATCAAGGACTGATAAATGTTTCGGTTTTGATTCGTAAAAGACAATTTTTAATAATGCTTAAGTGCAAGGATAAATATTTCATTCACTTAAATATGACCAACAAAATGAAACTCAACATGACTTAATATACTTAATACTTAACTACTTAACATACTTAATACTTAACTACTTAACATACTTAATACTTAACTACTTAACATACTTAATACTTAACTGATATACTTAAACATGACCCACAAAATAATGAACAAAAATTTTAACCTGAAAATTTCAAAACTTTCAATAAAATTGAATGAAAATAATTTTATTATTGTAGGCTCAATTTTGCTAAATAAAATAGCTCTAATTTACAACGAAATGAGTAATACTTATCTATTTTTTGACTTGAATATCAGTTCAATTATATTTTAAATTTTGAAAATCAAAATTTTTTATATCTTTAATATAGGAAGTAAAATAATAATCAATTAAATACTAAAAACGAATTTTTAAATGTATGTGGATCTCTACAATTCGATTGATTGCAATGATAGTATGCAAACTAAATTAAAGAATTATTAATATTCTGGGTAAATTTATCACGTAATCAATTTACTCAGAATATGCTGTAAAAGATTTTTGAATCATCGGAATTGTAATATTGTTTAAATTTGCTACGACTATAACATGGTTCTGTGTTGAAATATAATTTTGCTTTTTTTTGAACTTCAAAGGGTGATATACACTAAGAAGAAAAGAATAGCCAAAACTACCACAATATGGTAAAATTTACCGTACTTCTGGATCTATGGGAACAGCAAAGAGCTTGGTAACTTTTACCGAAGCGCTTTCGTAATGATTTTAGCAAAATTTAACGATTAAATATAGTTTAATAATATGTGATGAAATTTGGTAAATGAGGTAAAATATGGTAATTTTATCATACCTTAGAACAGGATCTAAAAACCATTTATTCGGTTAAATTTACTTTTCAATTCTTTATTTCTTACTAAATGTGTAGTACTAAGATCTATAATCCTTAAAACAAGAATTTCCGATGAACCGGTACCATATGAAAGGAAAAATTAACAAATGAATGGTTTAAATACCGCATATAATACCATATCTAAAACCAGAATTATGATTTTCTTTTAGCAAAAATTTTATTAATACAGTATGATAATTTTTCAAAAAAATTTTTTCTCTACGTGGCTATTACACTTTTAAGGAATGTGATATTATGGTTTTATTTTATTAAAAGATGGTTCAATTTAGCACTTTATTTTTATTGAACCGTATTACGCCTCAATTTACCAAAATTTTGGTTCTATGATGAATCAGTTTTTCTGAGAGTGTATTGTGTATTATTGATGTTATAATGTATTAATATAGTGCATTAATATCGCTCGTTGCACTATTTTATAGTGTTATAAAAATTTAAAGAAATTTATTTAACTTTTTAACTTTTAAAGCTTTAAGAAAGATTACATTATATAATTTTTATTATATTATTATGTACCATGCTATAATATTCTTTAGTTAAAAAAACAATCGTTTAGTTAGAGATATGATGAACCTGTTATATTGTCTTATAAATCTGATTTAAAATTTGTTTATTTATTATAATTAAGTAACTTATATCTTAAGTTGATTAAAAACTTAATTTTCATTGAAAACAAAACTGTCAGTGAAAGCTTTGCTTAAGAAAATCTTAGACTGCATTTAGTCTACCTTGGATTCTAGGTAAACTTAATTTATCAAAAACTTGAATGTAAAAGAAAGGAGCATATTTCTCTTTTCCTTTCTAAAAATATCCATAATAACGATAATTTACAATATCAAATGGAATATTCGTTATAAAGAACTTATGATTCTATGTAAGTATATGTTAGGTCTGTGTAAGTCTTATGTTAAAATAACAAGCAAAATTATTCGATTGTAGCTGTGTGTAGTTGCTTTTGACATCCTTACTAACACTAATATGTGGTAAATAACAGTCATATTTTTCTTGAAGTGATAGATCTTGAAGATCTCTAGAAAGTGATAGAGTTTTCTTTTATAGTTAGAATAATTACTTGGTTGATGGTCCTCATACACATTTTTGCTTTACGTTAAGATCGTAATTAAAAAAATACGAGGAAAGGTTATTATTTTTTCCTTTTTCTGTACTGTTAACCGAAATAATTAAAACTATTTTTAATTTTACCATTCTTCATATTATATTGCCAACTTAACAGCATAAAAATGTATTTTTCTTAAAAAACATTGTCGCAATAGCGGATATAATTAGTAATTTTGATCGTTATAAAATTACAATTTGTGAAACTTTAATATTAGCATTTTAAAAATGGCTTGGCAAGTTCTAGTAGTAGAAGAATTTCGTATAATATGCCGCACTCATCACATTCAACTATTGCTGCATTTTTAAATTTTTATCTATAAGCATTTTTAAAGATTTGGGGAAAGAAAACTAATTTTTTAGTGAAATAAAAATTAAGTTTATAAATGAATAATTAAATAAAGCACTTCAAAACACAATTTTCCTTTTTTTTTTTTTGTATTTCAGTACTACTTAGCTCAGCAGTACACGACAAGTACTTTTCTATTTAATTTATATATTTATCTACAATTCTATAAATTAAAATTGCCCAGCAAGCCCTATTTCACAATGAGGTGAAATCAAATTAAACGTTTTTGAGATTAAAAGTAGCTTTTCTAGAAGATAGGAATATACATTTTAGATGAAAGAAGAAAAATCATTAATTTACCAACTTAACCAGGGAAAAAAATTCCTTAGTTAAATCTTTTCTTAGTTACAAAAAACATATTGGAAATCAACCATAATTTCTCTTCTGCTTCATTTTTTAATTCTTTTATTTCAATTACAAGCAAACTAAATTCTACCTATATAATCCAAAAACAGGCAATAAATATTTCAAAATGATGATAATAACTCGCGACTATAACAAAACTCACTACTGTACGGAATTATTTTTTTTCCACTTTTAAAAACATTTTGACACTTTATTTCCAAATATATTTTGCAGAAACGTCCTAAAAAACTTAAATGAGTTTAATACAGAGGCAGCTCAATGCAAATTCAGTTTCGTTTTAAAATAACTTTGAAAACTCTCTGATAATTTCCATAAATGTTTCTTTAAAATAATAGGCACTTAGGTTTTCCATTTTATCCCATCTCCAGAAACGAATTTTTAACAGTTTTACAAATTTCCAGTTTTTTATATCAGTAGAATTTTATAGTAAAACCTAATAACATGACTAACAACAGTAAAACCTATCAACAATATTTTGCAGTAAAACCTAACAGCATAACAAAACTGTAAAACAAATCAGTGTTGATATTATATTGAACCATGATGCCAATATCTTGAACTATAACACATTGCGAATTTACAAAAAACTTTGTAAAGTTTTAAAATTTTTATTATTGTGGTTCAAAGGATATGCATGTTTTGTATTATTAAATTTAATTATACCATATTTTTATTCAAGTTAAAATCACATGATCATGCAATTAAGTTTGTGAAATACGATAATATAGTTGTAATTAGAGTAATAGTAAGATTATAGCAAATGTAAACGATTTAATGGTTCAATTCGTTCCAATATTTCTATAAAACGCATTGATGATTTCCCTTAATGTTTTTCAGATATTAATTACTATGTCCATTTTTGTACCAAAATAAGCGGCGTACTTTTATCATTTACAGTTATACACCTTATTGTTATTGAATACAAATCCCATGAATACTAAACTGTAAAATTCTTTAGTTGTAAATAATAATCTAACGAAAAAGAATCAGCATGTTTTTCCAGGTACGTATTACCGGTACCATGCTTAAGTAAATCACTTTCTGAATATCAAAGTAAAATTTCCAATATGAATATTAATAGTTCGAATCAAATCACGTGATTCGAAGAAAAGGGGAAAAAAAAAACTCACCACCACCGTGATCCCCTCCCCCTTGATCTAGATCTGTGGTTGGCGGCTTCTATGAACAAGAAGAGAAAGATGAGGACTGCTGCTGCACGGATTAAGCAGAAGAGCATCGTCGACTGCTTCAATCGAATGCACAGCTCCTTCTCTGCCATTCTTTTGGATTCTACTCGCACGCGCTCGCCACACCCCCGCTCGACCCCAGGGGGAGGGATGGGAAAAGGAGGTCCCATCGGACACAGCAGTGGAGCCTAAATTACAATTCCATCTCTTCATTTCCTGCTTAAAATGTATCTACTCATTTAAAGAGAAAACGATTTTTTTTTATACCGTATGGAATGTTTTTAGTTTTCAAATTCTTATGAGAAATGAATCGTTTGCTTTAGAGACGCGTTAACAAATTTTAATCTCCCGATATCCGAATTTTGAATAATGGCAGAAAATGCAATTTTTAATATAAAATATATACACACAAAAATCCGGATCAAATTGCGGTAAACAGTATTGGTACTCAGGGTGCCGGTACTTTTTACCCTAAAATCCATTTTTACCGTTTATACGGAACAAAAATCTGATGTACCGTAACTTTTACAATATTAACTACCTTAAAATTTTTGAATTAATATTACGGTATAATCACGGCTATTTAAATAAATATTATGGTATATTTTTCGGTGAAAATGAGCTTGACGAAAAAAAAAAGATGTAGATTTTACGGTTAATGCATCCAAAGTGTCGATATTTTATGCCGTAATTTGATCCTTTACTTCCTACTGCGTAGCCTAAAATAAAATGAACTCTTAAATTGGACAAAAAAAATTTTTTAAAAATTCACTTCACTAAATTGAATTTTTTAACTATTTTTAATAATTACACAGTATAACATTTAAGGTTTAGCATAAAAAAATATTGTGAACGATTCATCAACGGATGTTTATCCATAGCTCAGCTTCAGCTTCGAAAAGACAAGGCAAAAAGGATAAACATTTCGAACAATTTTATTTTAAAGTATCTATTTTTTTTTTCAGTTTATTTTTAAAATAGTAATTTCAAAAATAATTAGATACCATAATACAAATAAAGTGAATGATTCACTATTAAATCACTGAGTTAACAACACGGCGTTGAACAGGCAGTAACTACAGACTTGTGAAGTAACCACAGATTCTGTCACAGGACTTATTACAAAAGGCTATCATATACAGCCACGATATGCAATCAGTTCTGTAGTCACCGTCACAAGCGTACCGGTGACTGCGGAATTAAATAGATATCTTAGAAAAGAAACAAATATAGTTAAAATATGCACAAGAAATCAGAAAATTAACAATAAACTATAGCGTGTAGTAAATGCTGACTGATGCATGTTAAATCTGTCGAGTCAAAAAATCCTCTAAGTTCCCATAAAAAATCATACTTCTGGGCTACTGATCCAGGAGTTTCCTTGTCTTCTGGATTGGTTCAAAATTACAAGGCAACGGAGTTGTACATTTATAGTCACAAAACCCAAAACTTGGGTCGACTGTTCGACGACGGTTATAAAATAAAATAAAATGAATTAAGCAACTATAAAATTTTATGGCAATCCTCAGTTATTGATTCCATCAGCAGTTTCCAGTTATTTACAAGTTTAAATTTTCAGTCAAAGAAGTTGGGGGAGAGGCGAAGTTGGGAAGTTGGAAATCATTAACTGCGAAAATACATGTAGAATAGAGTTAGTGGCAGCGAAAATTGCTACGAGATAATATCTGCTATATTAAATACAGAAAAAACAATTTTTGTAAAAGACTTTTTTTTTCTAATTTAAGCTGCTGTTAGAACGTTAAACAACTTAACGAAATAGTTTGAAGTATTTGGGTAATAAATGGCAATGGTCTTTAAGGTAAAAGGTCCTTATTATGCCTGGAAATAGAATAAACTTGATTATGTTTCCTCAAACTAATGATGTCCTTTTCCTTACTATGTAGACTATAAAATTATATATAGTGTGTATATATATATATATATATATATATATATATATATA